TGGACTGTTTCTAGTACTTGGAGAAATGATTTTACAGTACCTGTACCTGTCAGGAATGCCTAAATTTCTTTTTACTCATCTGACTCCATTTTCTTTGGTGGTCATTGGTACTGGAACAGCCAAAGGGCAGTGCTGTGCAGAACCCCAATAGTAAGACCATCCATGCATGAATTCTCATGGAAGTAATTTTGGTTTCCAGCTAAGACTAGTAGCACTGCAGGTGCCAGGAGTGACTTCTGTGGCTTGTAGCAGAGATAAAACCCTCCCATTAACGTTTCTGTACTTGGCTGGATGTGCAGTGGTGCTGGCAGGGGTTATCTTTAAATACTGCTTTGATATCATGTGGTTTCTAGGGATGTGCTCCCTAGCCCCCAGAGTAAGAGATCTGCCTTCAGGACTGTTTTCCTGCTGTGCAGCACATGGCCCTGGGTTTCATCTGACAGATGAGAAATGTGGTTGGATGTTTTTATCTACACTGAGGGCATCTATAGAGAAGTGTTCAAAAGTGAACTGCTAATACTTGTTTAGATCGAGGCAGGATGAGACCTGTGAGAATTCCACACCAAACGTGACCTTGGTGTTGAGTACTTGCAAAAAATACCAGTATTGTGAATTTGCACATAGAAAACATTTGGAAGTTAGTAACAACTGGTTTCCTTTTTCAGCATATCCGTGTGACACCTTTAGCAGTTCAGATTTTTTTTCTGGAACAATGCAGATGCATCAATACTTGGAGAATACTCTGGTCTTACAGTCCATGGTTTGTTTGAAGCCATAACTGTGAAAAACATAATCGGCTCTGAATTTTATCTCTTCAGATACAGATTTGCTAATGTCTTTCTTAATCATTTTTTCAAGTCTACATTTAGATTAAGTCATATATTAGCTTTACAGCTTCTGAACTTAATCCAGAAAGTTTTCAGAACTGGGTATTGGAAAAGGGTTTAATTTTGCCTGCCAAATATGAAAAATTATTTCTGTTCCATTAAATTTACATTACATGTGTTGTAGAGGAGATGACTAAAGTAAAATGTGACAAAGAAGTGCAACTTGAAGAGCTGTCAGAAACTCTGGTAAATGTTCATTTTATTAATCTTATAGCATTTGCTCTTAATTGAAATTCCTCTTGCTTTTGAAGTACCTTAAATGCCATAAATGAACACCATCTAGTCAACTTTAACATTTCTACTAAACTTTCTCACACACAATTTCAGTGTTTTCTTTGAAGAACTTTATTGCCACTGTTTTTCTCGTCTCTTGTGTTTTGGTTTTTCTTGTCTCCCATGTTTTGGTTTTCATTGTCAAGGTTTTTGGTTATTTCCTTCTTCGTTCATGCTCATTCAAATGCCACTCCCTCTGCATATAAAGTTTTCCAATTTTTTGCTTACTTATAGGAAGGTAATTGGCTCTGGCCTCTTTGAACCCTACTGTACTGTGACATAGGCCCATTTTCTGTCACAGAAGTCTTAAGCTATATGAAGTACACTCTTAATAGAGGTTTATTTTCATTATGATTTTATATTAACAAGTCTAACAAGGAACCATATCAAGTTAAGTTAGTGTGAAATCAGGTGTGCATTTTACCGTGTCTGCTTGTTGTTATAATCTGTGCATTGAGTGGTCTAAGTTTCACTAATTTTCTAAAATGGGCAGGTTGGAGGACTTGTACTGAAGAAGGATCTTGAGGCTACTGTAGAAAATTTGCAAAGAGAGAAAAATTTGGAGAGAGAAATGAAAATGCTCTTCAAATCAGTGAGGCCTGAAATAGGGCAATAGTAACATGCTTTTATAAATAGTGAAGTAACACATCATAACGTGTACACTAGTACATCAGAAATAGCACACAGAGCAATGTCCCACCCTGAACTGCTCTGCTCATAACAGTGACAGCAGGAGATCCTCTGTCCTCCTGTAGCCTCTTACACTCTTAGAGTGGCTGTACTAAGGATGAAGACACAGCCCTGCTGATTGCCTTTCTGTTCTATCTTATAGAACTGGAATTCTCTGATTTTCACTTAGATGCATGTAAAAGCTTATGGAGTCTGAAGTAAATGTCTTTATTTAAAATTATGTCCAAGGAATCTAATTTTAGTAGTTTTGCAGACTAGGTAATTAAACTAATTACAGCAGGGGACATTTACAGCACTGGTGTCAGAGTTCACTCTCTCACACCACTTCCATATCCCACCAGAGATATGTGAAGATACAGTCTGGATAATCCATGACATGGATGTTGTTTGGTTCTTCTGAAAGCCTTGTGCTGTTAGCTCATGTCTGATAACCTCCATGAGTTGTAGTTTACACATGTATACTCAAAACTTTTCCTTTTCCTTTTGCAGAAAGAAATCCATGATTTGAAAGTACAGCTGACTAGTACAGCTGAAAAGGAACAAGATTATTTAAACCAGCTTTTGACTCTGAAAACAGATCTTGAACAAGAGGAGTATGACCATTTTGAAAATATAGTATTTAATTTTTTTTGGTGTTATATAGATGTTACTTTAATACACAGTGAAACGTACTATGATTGTTTTCAAAAGGAAGTTTTGAACTAATTAGTATGACATTAATTATACACTTGTATTTGTAAATTAGATTTTGTCTATTTGTATGTATTCTATGGAATACATGGTTCCGTATCTGTTTGACTTAGTTAACAAGAAGAGAAGGTTTCTGAATTCATAGTTAATCCTGCTTTAAACTACATCATCTTCACTAAGCATTGTATTTATATAAAAGTTGGCTCTAGTTTTCTTTCCTTCTTGTGTCAGCTTTTTATATCACTGTGACTTTGCTGCAAAGCTTATATTTGTAGATAAAAGCCTGAACGTTTTTCAGCATGGAGTAACATTTGATAATGGGTATATTTAATTTAAAAGGAGATTTCAAAATGCATGTTCTTATTCCTCTTGGCCATTTGTTTTAAACTAGGTTGAAGAATGAACAACTAACAGTGTATCTCAATAAGCTTTCACTAGAGAAAGAACAAATAGCACAAGAGAAAAATGGTGTGGCTGCAGAACTCAAGAGGCTGCAAGAAAAACAAGAGGCAAGTTGTAAACTTCCAGCTTTCTTTAAAGGACAGTACTCAGTTTTACAAATCAGATGATAAGCTGCAACATGACATGGTTCTGTAGAGTACCTGGACTATTTTTTGTGTTTGAATTGGAAAGGAAGTGTATTTACATTTGTGAATAAGGCAGGTCAGTGTGCTTTGGATGTGTTTGAATTTGTTAAGAAGTCACTTTGAATTTTCTTTCTTTGCTGACACGGGTCTTTATTTAGGATAGTAAGAAAAAAGAAGAAAATACAAAGCAGTTAGTTGAAAACCTAGAAGAGGCAAATAGCCAGCTAAGGCAAGTAAAAACAAATATTAATTTCTGATGTTGTTAAAGGAAGTAGACTGAAATAGTTGTGTTCATATGCTGCTTTCTGGGATTTTTTTGATTAATGTTTTTCTAGATTATATAGCTAAACAGAAACTATTCAGTGCTGCTGTTGGCCAGGTAGAAATTTTCTCAGATTATAAGTACCTGTTGCTGCAGGAACAACGTTTGCCATAGTTTCGTATTACATGAAAGAGCTGTTCTGTTTTGTGTTAGACATCTTAGGTGGGAAGGAAATAAAAATGGAAGTTCAAGGTTATGGATTAAATGTGATAAGGCAAAACTGGATAGGTGTTACTCTCTGCAGAAGTCTCTGTACCATCTGTTCAATAGACAGGCAACCTCCCATGTTTCATAACTGCATTAAAATATTCCAGGTTAGGATGTATTTTCCTTAGGTTAGGTGGAACATCTTTTCCTACATAAAAAATGTATAGACTGTTCACATATTGACTTACTAGCCATGTTGCTTCATTTCACTGAGCAGCTTATGAAGTTCCCATCAACATTAGCAGCTCTTTTTAGAAAATAAAATACAGCATTATTATTAATTATGATGTACTATTACAAGTATACTGTACTATTATACTAAAGAGAAGTTAAAGGTAATAAGTAGATATTTACCAATGCTTGTTAATTTGGCCCTTAGAAGTGAACTGGAGTCTTTGAAGGAGAAAATGGCAAAGACAGGTGAAGAGGTTAAAAGTAAACTGGATGAAAGAGAAGAAAACGTACGTCACGTCATGTGTCATGAAAATATGTTACATAACCTGTAGGACATAATCTAAATATAAAATGTGTGTTGGGATTTTTTTCTGCAAAGCTCTGCCTGGGGGATGTGATCTCTGCCAGAGGATTTCTTCTTTCACAGCTGCTGCCAGCTGTGACATTGTGTGTCCATATGCTGAGCCCTACTATTTTAAAAGACAAGCAAAATCACTGGGATGTTTACTCTTTGCTTGGAAGTTTGATATTAAAGATTTGCTTGATTTCAGGCAAACAGAGAACCTGCTTTTCTGTTTTTTCATATACCCACTGACTGATGGATGGGCTCTGGATTAGCTTTTTATATGTAATGTGAGTTTTAGCTTAAATAGATTCAAATATTTTCACTTTCTTTCTATAGTTTCAAAGCAACCTGAGGTTTTTAGCATTAGAATGGATTTCAAAATTCTATTGTAAAAGTCAAAGATTTACAATGTTAATTTCAGGTTAAGGGTATTGAAAATGGAATTTCAATAAAAGAAAAGCAGTTGCAGATTCTAGAAAATAATTGGGAAAATTCATTTTTTCATGGATTGTAGGGAACTTCATACAAGTGTATTTTTAAAATTGTGAAGAGACTGGGTTTTTTTTCTTCTTTCTTAACCCTATAAACACTGGGTCACTGCTATTAATTAACATCTTGTAGTACTTTATGGCTAAAACTCAGATCATCCTAACATGTCAGCTTGTGTTTCAATCCTGTTGGAATAAACCAAACTGGTGCAAGTGCATGTTTGAGAATGCTGACAGGAATTGCTAACATGGAGTCATTTTTAGAACTTACTAATTAATATTTGAAATATCTCTTTCAGATGAATAGTTTAAAGAAACAGGTGGAAAATAAAACCAAACACATTGAAGAGTTGCAGCAGGAGGTGTGTAGAGATTTTAAAAGTTACAAATACATAAACACATGGTATTTTGGGGTGACTTTTCAGCAGTTTTTGTCTGCTGTGGTATCTTTAGATACACCTATGTAATTTAAACATTTTCCTTTCTTATCCTAACTCTGAGCAAATTAAGGAGTCATCTTTGGAATCACTTGATTTGTTAAATTAGCTTTAATTTGAAAAGAACAATTACAAAAATAATACCTTGAATAAACTTGTACTTTTTTCATTTAGTACATAGTATTATTTATTTACTGGTCATCAGGACTATCTCAGTTACCAGTAGTAGAAAAGAATTCTGCACTAGCACAAATTGTAGTAACTTCACTGTAAAAATAATTTGTATATTTTGTCATGACATCTTCACACTTTCTGTCAGCAGCACCTTAGTTTTAATTCCCATTTTGCACCTCATTTGTTTTCCCTGTTGTTGCTCAGAAGGAGCTCTTTCTTAAGGTCATGAAGAAACAGTATTATCACAGTAATTATTTGAGCATTCTTTTGTTTGGAGAATTGTTGTGGAACCTGAACTGCACAATGGAAAGTTATTTGCTTGATGAAAGCTGGAATTTTGAAGATTCTGACATTCCTGATGCAGTTAAACCATTACATAATACTATTAACTTATTAAGATACAGTCCTTGGTTTTTATTTCAACAGAATAAGGTGCTAAAAAAGAGAATTACTGCAGAAAGCAAGAAAAATAGTATTTATGAAGGGAAGGTAGGTTTAAATAACATCACGTAGAAGATGAGGTGAGTGCTTTTAAGCCCCAGTGTAACTAATGGTAATACTTGTTAAATACATTCTGAACTGATTTATAGATCTGGGATACAGATTTTGTGGGAATGAGTTCATAGTTTTTAGAAGATGCTTCCATTTTTAATCATTGGGCACTGACTATTGGACATTTAAAAGAGATGGACTTCACATCACAATTAATTATGTTTGTAATCAGTTCCTTTCTTTTTTTTTCCTTTTGTTGATAGTAGACTGAACAGGGTTCAGTAACCCCATTGTGACAGAAAAGCATTTAAAAGATATACATGTATTACTCACTTTAGGCTGTTCTTTAAATGTGTTCTGCAGTCACAAATCCCTCCGATGGGAATATTGTGTCCAGCTTTGGGTACTGCACTTGAAAGAAGTGGACTTTTGTAAGGATATCCACATGAGAAACTTAAAAGGAAAAACTGTAATCTGCTGTAATCTGCAAAATGCTGTTGCCATGGTTTCTTTGAGTATTTTCTAACTGACTTCAGGCCAAAGTTCAATTCTTTATAAAAAAAGCTGAACTTTTAAATAGGAAACACTTTAATCGTATACCTGAAAAGTAACAGTGTGTTTCTGCTCAAGAATAAGAGGTAAAAAAAAAGCATTAACATATTAATTCCTAAACAAATAACAGCAGCAATTCTGCATTCTCAAAAGGTGAATAAATTGCAGTTAGAGATGGAAAATATGAACAAAGAACATAAGGAAGCAGTTGACATCTATCAAAAAGACATAGAAACAAGAAAAATGAATAGAAACAAGAAAAATGAATGAAAATAAACTTCATGAAGAGGTGAGAGGTGTTAATTTTTTCTGCAATTTGTTTTTTTTTTAATTTAAAATGTTTTTATGAAGCTTTATTGGCCAGAGTCCTTACTCTTACAGTTCAGTCTTATCAACATAAATGGAACTTCTTTTGTATGCCCATGAGCAAAGCTTTAGTACATTAGGTGCTTAAGTTAAAGTATTTGAATATATCTTTGAAAATAAAAACCCAGTTAAAAATTACTTCTTTCAAGATACAGTTCAAAGAAATTCTACCCTTGGTATAAAGTCAGCATAACTAAATTAGATTATAACTTCTCCCATATTAATATTTTTTTTCCCCACACATTTTTTGATGGTAATTCTAGGAAATGTTAGGGCAGAGAGCTTGAAATGGCCTTGTGGTTAGAAGTGAATTTGCCTGCTGTGGATGTACCTTTAATCCTGCCCATTTTAACAATCTGCATAAAAGATGTCAGATTTGAAAAAGATCTTAAAAGCAAATGAAGTCCAGGTGGGATTACATACTTGGCACCCACAGGGGGAAGATAAATTAAACTAAGATTTAAAAAAAATATATTGTTACATTTATGAATGAAATGTAATTTATTACTAACAGGTAGAAAAGTTGAGGTTGCTTTATGATGAAACAACAATGATACAAAGAGAAACTGATATCAGATGTCAGCATAAGATAACTGAAATGGTGGCACTTATGGAAAAGCACAAGGTGAGAGATTTTACTGATTGCCCTGATTTGTATTTTGTGATACCACGTTAATAACCTTTCAAAATCAGAAAAAGGCCTGAATCTGGGAAAAGGAAGCTGAACACATACTTGAGTTTTCATCATCTAAAATCAAATTAATTTGAAGATTTTTGAAAACATGCCTATGGGCAGATAATCTCCACTTATCTAAACTTCTTGGATTTTTAATTTCTTTTTTTTTTTTTTAAATTCAGGCTTCCTTTGATACCATCTGAATGCAGTATTTTTCAGTATCACTTTGGCCTCTTATTCCGGGGCGATTACTTGGTGACTGTCAACAGTTTGGCTTGACATATTTTAGGTTACCTTTCTGTTGCCCTCTTTTACCATATCTTTAGCAGGTGTCATTAATACAAATAGCACAGCTGGCTCATAGGTGCTGAACACATATTGCTGCACAGAAATACAGCACTCTCTGCCAGTCCACAAAATAATACTGTATCAAGCATTTTCTGTTTTACAGTCTCTGCAGAAGCATCAGTGTTTGTTCATGGTTCTTTCTGAATCTTCTGAAGAGCCTGGTTTGAAAAAATGATTGATGTTTTAAGACTGGATAGATCTGTAATTGTAAAATTTAGTCATGTTTTGAGTTTGATGTTGGTTTGATTTTTTTAACACAGAACGAATATGATAAAGTGATTGAAGAAAAAGATGCAGAGTTAAAAGTATATAAAATAAAACTGCAAAAGCAGTTATCATCAGAAAGAGCACTGGTAAGGAGTACTTTCCAATGTTAAATAATTCAGTGAAGGGGCTGATGTCCTTGTCTCGTGGTTTTACACTGGCTAAGAGCCAGGCATGCATGAAAAAAACATTCACTCATTTTTCTGTGCTATAGTTGAGCAGAGGAGGGGAAAGAAAAATGGAAGGGCTTATGAGCTAAGGATTAGGAGAAAAACACTTTAAGGGTAAAACAGGTTCAATTTTAAATAGTATCAAGAAAATATAAATAGAATTAGAAGTGGGCAATTAGAATTAAACCTGTTGCCCTGAAAACTAAGCTTTCTGATCTTGTTTTCATAGTTTTAGTTACTTTCCCAGGAAAGTAACTGTAAACATAAATATTTACACATTCCTTCTAAGAAACATCTTTGATGGACGTTTCACATGACCAGTGTGATTGGGAAGGTCATAATTTAGTTACCCAATCCCTGGTCATTGTCAAGAATCTATAAATACTGGAGTCAGAAAATAAAGTTACTGCTTTTCCTGTCATACCATTGAGCTGAGTCCATGTGAATCATTTCGTGTCCTTTAGTGACATAAACCTCTAGAACACTTTTTTTTCCTAATCCCTTCTTCTTTTCCACTGACAGAACAGAGACAAAACATGTGATCTTTAATCAGTTTGTCACTTCTAAAAATATTTTTTCAGTTTGTTTAGGGAGTTTCTTGCTCTGCCATGGGGTCTTTCCCACCAGAGCCAGTTCTCTGTGAACCTTTCCAGTGTGATTTTAATTTTGACAAATAGCCGTCCCACCCGACCTGCTACGTGAGTCCCTCCCAAAGGCAAAGTCTTCGCACAACTGTTTTGCAAGGGTCATTGGTTTAGGGGCTGCAGTCTTTTAATGAGGAGCTGTTCTAGTTTGGAAATGGATTCTCCAGCTTCTCTCTTTGTTTGAATTTCCCACTAGATGACAGCTTTTTAGCATCCACTTCCTCCAGCATGAGCAACTTTTCTCACGGGCTGTGATGGATCTCTGCATTTCCCCATGCGCTTCATAAATTACAGAGAAACAGTTTGTTGTAGTATAGTCCTCACTACAGCTTGCAGAAAAATCTCAGCTCTGACGTTTGGAGCACTTCTTTTCCTTCCTTCCCCTCACTGACTTTAGTGTTGCCATGTTGTTCTTTTCACATGTCTTCACTTTTTCCTTCTCTCTGATTTGGAGAAAATTGTTTGGAGGTTCGTTTGTTCTCAAGTTCTATCAATTGGAAAGTTCTTGTAGGGTTTTGCAGTGCTGAAAAGTTGATCTCACCTGGGCTCTGTATTGGGGGTGTTGCTCGTCATGCCCCCTGCTGTCAGCCACGTGGTGCCCACCACGGCCACTGAGGCACCATCTCATGTTCAGCCCTCTCTTCACGCAAGGCACCGAGAAGGAGAAGCTGCTTCCACAGCTTCTGTCCTTCTGCAGGCAGCACGGCTGGCTAAAAGCGTCTGAGCAGGCAAAGTGCATGAGGAGCTGTGCCGAGATGGTGGCAGCCACACGGCCCCAGGCACGTGGTTCTGGCCATGGGGCCTCGGCTGCGTGGCCCTTCTGGCCACTCGTGGTGCCAAGAGGGTCCCGGCTGCAGCGCCTCTCCACCCCTCAGAAGAAGAAGAAAAGGTGTGAGCAGTTTTTTTCTTCCCTTAATATATCACAGAGGCATTACCGACTTTTTTAATTAGGCCAGCAACATGTCCATGATCAGAGCCTTCAGAAGTTGGCTCTTCTGGACACAGTAGAAGCTTTGAACAGGTTTCTCTCTCAGAAGCCACTTCTGTGGCTTCCTCCACCCCCACTGAGAGCCAAGATGTGTTAAACCAACGTCCCTTGAAGAGTAATAAAATTATAAATGCCATATTTTACTTCTTCCTATTGAGTACTTGGGGAAGGGTTAACTGTCTGCTTTAGTGGGATTGATTCAGCCCACTAATTTATTTGCTTTTATTTTCTTACAGATCTTATTCTGGGCACTAAAAACTCCAAATGTTTCTAAGAATTAATTGGAGTAGCAGTTTGTGTCTGCTCTTCCAGATTGTGTGTCATTTTCTGGCTTCACAGTTTGAATATGAAACTTTTGTTTTAAATAGTTAGATTCTACTCTCTCACCATTCTTCTCCCAAGTGTTTTAAGTCTTACCTTGAACACTTCTGATCAATTACCTTTTCTTATAGTACTTCAGGATTTTTTAAACAAGCAAAGGTTCAGGTATAGAGTTGAAAAACAAATAGAATTATCTTTTTTATGTAATGAGTATCCCTATTAATTACTGTTTCATTTTGGACTTTTATTTTTTCTGGGTTGTGCATAGTTAACCATATCATTTATTTAATTGTTTTTAGGAAAATGAGCTGTCATGTTTGAAAAGTGAACTGTCATCCCTTAAGGAAGAACTGAAAGCAGAAGTTGAAGAGAAGGTGGAGTTTTTTACTAACTGAGCAGTGTGGGTGAGAGGTGTGGCTTGGCCTTGTGCTCTGGGAGAAGTTGTATAAGAAATGAAACTGAATAGAAAAAACATGATTTTGAATGCTGCAGTTGTACTAAATCTGGTCATTTATTTGTGTAAACTTTGTAACCATCGATGATTGTAGACTCTGTTCTGGAATTACACCAAGAAGATTTATAACAATTGAATTGAAATAAATATTTACTGCCTATCACATAATTCTTTTTTAGGAGACTCTTGTAAAAGAGCACTCTCAAAAGATGATTTCTGAAAGTGAAAAGAAACACAAGGTAACTTTAACTTTTTAATTGGTTTTAGAATTTGGTAGTGTGTATATGTGTAGAATCAACTGAAGTGCCATGATAATTTATTTGCATTCAACAAAAGACATTGGAATGCTTTTAACTTAAAACCTTTTAAACTTATGTTCCTGGGACTCCTAAACCTTGTTTAGGTCCAGACAGTGAATCTATTAATGTAAAAAATAGAAAGTCTCCAAATTATATTCCTGTGGAAGTCAACATGGTGGAAAAGAAAAAAGTGTCTCCTGTGGTACCTGCAGGAAGCCCCTTGGGCAGTTCAACATTGAAGTTTTGTAACTCCTAAAACTGAATTTTTCTTGTTGCATTTTTCTGCCTGTATTTCTTAATTCTCTGTAGATACTTATTTATTTTCTTCCTGGGATAAGCAGGGATTTTAAAGGGTGATACCATTCCATGGAGATAGTAGACAGCAGTTTGTGGAAGGGTTCCCAATATGTCATTTTTCTTGCTCAGTTGTTGCTTTATGTCTCTAGAATTGCTTTACTTAAACAATTGTTCAAAAGTATCCATTTGAAAAGGCATTTTTTTCTCTATGGAAGAGAAAAAAAACTTATATAGCTGTAAAAATTGTCAAAGTATCAAAGTATTTCTGACTGCAAAACTTACTCTTCTTCCTTGTCAAGAGTTTGCTTGTGGTTTTCATATTGGAACAATAAAATCCACTCCCATTTTGATGTTATCTTTCAAAAAAGGGACTGCACTGGACCATTGCAATGTTCTCAGATTAATTTCTAGTGAAAAGACTATTTTAAATAACACCAATGTTGATATCACCATCAATCTTTCCCCGAAAGCCTCTTCCTGCAGTTTTGTTCATTTCCATTTTCTTAGATGTTTGATATAGTCCATGTGCAGTGGTTACAGTTCAGAATAATCTGAATTTCTACAGAGAAGCATGAAGAACTTAGTATGCCATGAAACTCAGTTCTTCCACAGCTTCCTGTTCATTCTCCTCATTTGGCAACCAAAAAAGGATATTTCCACCCCACCCCACTTTGTTTGGGTCTTTGCTTCATGTTTGGATGGAAAGATAATAGTTCCACCACATCTCTCAGGTGTCATCTTGGACACTCAGACTGTAACCTGAGTCATGAGTTTAGGTTTATACTTATCCCATAAAATATAATGTAAAAATATAAAAAAAAATCTTTTCCAGACATACATTGTAAAGACTCCTCCAGTAGATAAACTGCAAAGTGGAAGAAGCACAAACCTACCTTCAGAGGAGAGCACAAGGAAAAAGCAAAAAGTGTTTCTCCAGTTGGATAGTCAGTCAGACAGCTCTGAGTACACTGACCTCCTGGTAAGAGTCAGAGAACAAATAATGTACTGGGCAGTTCTTTGTGCTCACTGCTGTGTCCAAGAACGAAAATAAAGAGTTTAGGCTTCCACATTCAAGCCAATATTTATGTATATTTTTTACTTAATTGGTTCTTTCTGGAATTGTAGTTGTATGTACATAATTTACATTCTTTTCATTGAACTGTTATGCCTCATAATGACATCTTAACTTTTTTTTTATATAGTTTAATATCCACAGGGGGAAAGAAAAAGTATTTTTTAATACAGTGTGACTAAGTAACTTTTTAATTTATTAGAGCATAGTCTCGGAAGAAGAAATGTTTAAAAAATTGTACAAAGATTATCCACAAGCTTCACAATTACATTCCACAGCACCAAAAAAGGTATGTTAGCCTTTCATATGATTAAACCAAACAGTTAATCAGATTGTTTACACAAAATAATGGATGGCTTTATTTTCCTTCCTAGACACCAACTTCATCCAATGTGAAATCTCCAGGCTCTTCACTGAGATTCAAAACAATGAGGAGAACGCGCCAGGCGGACTGGACTGCGGTTTCCAAAATGGACAGGAAAAGAAAAATGAAAGAAGCTGCAAAGTTATTTACTTAAAATGCAGAAATACCCAGTGCCTGGGCATTGCTTATGGGTGCCACCATAGGGTTGTTAATCTCTCAGAGTTAGTACTTTGTTGCATTTTTCTGTCATGCTCAGTGCGTTGAATTCTATGTTCATTTCCTTTACACATATAAACTTTATAGATCTATAAATACATCCCCCTGCAGAGTATTTTCCACCTTTCCTCCCTTCTGCTGTTACATGTTGGGACACAAATTAGCCAATTTTAAATTTTGAAAGAAATATAACTACGTAGAAAGTTGTTTCAAAGCTGTTTCTGGCATTAGAAATTTTGGTTTTAAAGAACTTCTGTTCTTTTAAGTTTACTCTGTTTTTGTTAACACATAATACTTAGTGAAAGAAATGTAGCTTTTAAATGTATACACTTTTACCTGAAATCCTCTTGTTTTTTCCTGCCTTTTAATGGCTTTTAGACCTGTCTGTTTAGACTGTTCTAGATTGTACGTTAATGTTAAGTTTGAAACTTCTAAAACTGAAGTTTTAATAGAATCACTTGTATTTAAAAATATTTCAGCTACATAAGAAATAAAATACACACGTTATAAAATTGTGAAAACAATGTTAAGATGCCATTAAATTGTTTATCTGAAATACAAATTGTGGGACTAAATGTTGTTGCTTTAAATATTTGAACAGACAGAAATTACCAGTCAGCCTTCCTAGGGACAGCAGCTTCTGCCACAAAAGTGTAAGCATAGATTAGAACATCTATTTCTTTATTAATCCTTGATTAATCTTGATTTCAACAATGATAAACTCTACTTCAGAGCTTAGAGATGACAAGAGAACTATGTCTTGAAAGATAATGAAAAATTAAAAATGCCAGATTCATCTGAAGTGGGAAGCAAAACATACCTGCTGCATTCTTTTTGTGTAGTCTTATGGACAAGCCAGTAGTTTGTGTTCTTTATGTTGAGCTGTTGAGTAGTGATGTAAATAAGATTTGTTATTGTATGTAACTAACAAATATTGTGCAAAGACCTGGAAGAATATACTGCGCTTTCCCCATGAGCACTTGAAAGTGAAAAATGGAAGTCTGTACTGCTCACTTCTAGACTCAGTGACTAATCAGTTAGAGCCTTGGTATTTTCTAGGGACATGAATCCACGGTACATCACATAATTCTCCTGAGACCATGAGTGTGTCCTGTGAGGTGGTGTGCAAATCACCTGAAAAATTACAAAAATATTGCCAGCAACACTCCAGAAAGCTTGCAGGAAATCCAAACAGCAGGGAAGGGTGTAAAGTCATATCTGCCTGTTTCTGTGTCTGATTCTATACATGGGCTGGAGTTCCCCGCACTTGTTGCTGTGGCAACAGTCCACAGCTACATCTCTCCCTGTCTCTCTTCTCTGGCACTTGTCCCTCACACAGCAGCATTCGATGGGGGAGAATCCAGAGAGTGAAAGAGACCAAACTCCTGGGCTCAGACACAGTCAGGTCGATGGGGGAAGGAAAATTTGTGCAAGGAAGCAAAACCAGGAATTCATTCCCTGCTTTCCTCAGGCAGGTGGCTGTTCATCCCTCCCCAGGTGAGCAGGGCTCCATCCCAGGCAATGGTGACTTGGGAACACAAATGCCATCACTTCCAGCATCCCCCCTTCCTGCTCCTCCCCCCTGCTTCCCAATCTGATTCTTCTTCCACATGGTCTGGGGTCAAGTCAAGGTCATCTGTCTATGTTGGGGAGGATTAAACAGGGAAACCTTATGAATATGATTGTTTAGCAAAAATAAAAAATGAAACATGGGATACTGAGTGCTATCCGAGGAACAACAGCCTAGCCAGCTCAAGGAGAATCCCTGATGATGAAACAATGTCCTTCTGCAGACAGAGAATCCAAAGGTCAAGCAGCAAGAGAAGAATTTGTAAAGCTTTTAGAGTTTGAAATGTAACACTGTATGGTAATGTAGTAGTTCCTATAGGCTATATGTAAATTCTTTAGTGGGTGTGTCTAGTAGTGATTGGTTACTGGAATTAGAATATTCGCTATAGAAAAGGATATATTGGATTGTAACAGGAACTTCACTCTCTTGTGTTCTCCCCACTCTCTCTCATTCTCCCCATTCTCTTAACTCCTTTGTGTTCCCTCTTCCTTTTCTCTTGTTCTCCCCTCTCTCCTAAGCCTCCCTTGTTCTCCCCGCTCTCCCTCTCTCTCTTGTTTTCCCCCCTCTCTCTTTTTAACCTCTCTTCTCTTGCTCTCCCCCCTCCACTCTCTCTCCCTCCCTGGCCACGTGTTCACTGATGCTGATGGTGGACACGAGTCTCTCCCTCTCTTTACCCATATAATAAACTGCTTATACCTGAGCAGCTCGACCCTGGAGAAGTCTCTTACCTCGAGCGAATGTTTTGTACATCAGCATGTCTCAGCTGTGTCTCTCCTGCTTTCTGGTGCTCCCCCAACACCCTTACGAGTGGGGCAGGATGAGGAACAGTGTTATAAATGCAACGGCAAAATATGATTAATATAGACAGCGATTTATTATAAAACAATTCTATCACAAACGGGAGAAAAATAAAAACCACAATAAAATAGATCAGCGCAGCGCTGGGTGGACAGGGGTCTATACCCAGAGGTACAGATTTACCCAAATCCACGATCGAGGGGTTTCAGGTCTGTGTTTTTATAGGGATTTTGTGTCCTGAGGCCAAATTCCAAGCAGGCACCATTCACCAAAGGTCCTTGATTGTTGGGTGAATGGATTTCTTGGCATTGGAGAATAGAGTTAATAGATGTCTGGGCAGAGTCTCCTCATATGTAAAGAGATTCTTGATTTCATTTTGGTCCGGGCCATCAGGATGGAGTGGTGGGATCCGGGTTGGGGCCGGGGTGGGGTGTTCAAGTTCTGCGATGGGTATCTCCTCCGAGCTCATTCCTTTGTTAACCTGATTGCTTCCTCAACAGTGGTCGGCCAGGTGGGGTGGCCAGGTGGGGTGTTCAGGTCCGGAGATGGGTATCTCCTCCCAGCTCCTTCCTTTGTTAGCTTGATGGCTCGTGTCCTGCTCATTCTTTTTGGTTGATGGATGCCGGCTAGGATCTTTATCGGGGTTTCGGCTAGTATTGTTATTTCCTGAATGGGAATTCACGACTAGATCTGGGAAAAGACTTTCTGGCCACACTGTATTTTCCATTTTATATTCTCTCATGTTATTATAACTACAGATATATTTATTCAGGTCACTTACGAATTTTTATTCATAACTATACTTATTACAACAGGAAAGGCCTTGGCTCTGGGCAGGAATAAAAACCTACCTGAATTTCCCTCCCCACCCCTGTTTCCAGCCCAAATCCAAGCCCCACCCCAGAGAAGCCCCTGGGAAGGAAGGTAACTCCCCCCAGCACAAACCAGTCCCCAGTGCCATCCCCCAGCACCTGGGGCCAACACTGTCAGTGCTGTGCACCCAGCCCTGGCAATGAGGCAGGAGGATGGTTACCATGGAAACCAACTGTAGCAGTGGAATTTTATTATGGTTGCCATGGCACTGACCTTTCGATTGTATTGTGGGATAGTTTCCATGGCAAATGATTCGTGCAAGTGTCTTACAAAGTCCCTTGCAATTGGTTTATTGATGGTTGTCATGGAAATTGCATCAATGAGAGGGGTCTCTGTGTAGGTGGTTGTGGCAACTGCCATGGCAACTGCCCCAATGCTTGTCATGGTGTCATGGGGTGGCTTTACCTTTAAGGGTGTTTTGGGAGCTGAGGAAGTTGAAGTTGCTGGTGGCTGATGGGAGTCTTTCTTCCTGACTAATTATCAGTCATTTCTAAGAACTGACAGCAGTTTTGACCATTAAAAAGTGAAATCAACTTGTAAACACCTCCTTAAGATGTAAAGTCAGGGCACTTTTGTTCTCTTTGTTTCCTGGCTGTGAAAGGTAACAGAGCTCCAGCTGGCCTCTTGTTCTCTGCCTGGCCATGCGGCCGGGCAGGGGCTGGGCTGGGCCTGCCGTGGCTCCCGGCTGGGAGATGGGGCCTGCGGGGCTTGCCCCGGGCTCTGGCCGGGCCAGGCCAGTCCCTGGCTCGGCTGCACTTTTTGCCATGATGGAATTCACCAGAGACTGCCGAGGAAAGAAAGGAAAAAAAGCTCTTGACCTGCGGCATGCTGAGACAGGGACCACACTCTCCAGAGCAGCCATGAAGAATCTTCCATCGCAGACAGCTCCAGCCGCTGCTCCGGCAGAGATCACAGAACCATCTACAAAAGCCTGGGCAAGATTTTAACCTTTTCATTACCCAGATGAGACTTGCAGATTAATCCTTTTATCCAGAGAGAGAAAAAGAGAGTAATCAACATGTAAAGAGACTTTATAAACTATCAGAGACAGTAAAGAAAAGAATTAAGCTTCAGAAAAGGTAGAGAATAAGGAGATGCTTTATAAGCTGAAATATTTTTCTGTTAAAGCTATGGAGATGGACAATAAGGTCTTGAAAAAACACCTTTAATTCATGACAGAGTATATAGGGAGGAACAGAGTGTTCAAAGTGTGGATTTTGAGTAAAAAGTAGAGTAATTGTGATACAGTGAGGTGCTGGAACAGAGTGAAGCGAAAATTTGAAACCTTGGGGGGCAATGGGAAAACTGTTTTCCAGTAGAGCTCACAAAGACAGATGAAGAAGACTTTTGCCTTTGAATAACTCATCCTTAAAATGACATCCCTAGACTCATGGCCCATACACACCTCAGAGTGATGTGAAATGGGAGGAGTGAATTCTCATAACAAGATTTCCGGGCAGCTAGCATCAGAAAAATAGAAAGCTATAATAGAAATAGTTTTTCTTGTGAGAAACTCCATAAATTAACAGAAAGAGACTTCTGTTTCTCTACAAAGATTGATGAAAAGACTCTAGCAAGAATTGGGACTGTTTTAAACACCAAAGTTCCAAAGTTTTTGTCTCTGTTGTCATGTGAACACGGGAATGGTTGGGTAGTAGGGGATAAAAAGGGTTTTCTGGAAGTTCATTCTGGTTTTCTTATTCTTGTAGTTTTTTAATAAACTTTCTTTATTCCTTTTTAAGTTTTAAGCCTGTTTTGCTCTTGCTCTAATCCATATCTCACA